TGCCGCGGCAGGAGTTTGGAATATCATCAAGTTCGGGAGAAGGTAGTGTTGGTGAATCAACAGTGAGAACATGGTTTTCGAAAATTTCGATCTGGTGATTTCGACTTCGACGTCAGGGAAGTTGTGGACGTCCCGGTGAACTTGACGACAACGAATCGATGACACTAGTGGAACCAAACGGGTGAACGACTGTTCGAGAGCTCGCAGAACCGCTTGGCGTAAGTACTGGAATAATTTCCACTCACTATAATCGCAAAGGAAAGACAAAAATTCGACAAGTGGTTGCCGTCCGAATTAAACGATAATCAAAAAAATCGTCGGTTGGAAGTGTCGTCTGCTGTTGTTCTGCGCAACAAAAACTACCCTTTTCTCGTTGAACGGTGACGTGCGACAAGAAATGGATTCTGCATGACGACAGGCTCCAAGCACTTCCCAAAGCCAAAATTGCACAAAAAAAAGATTGTGACGACTTCTATATGCTGAGATATTTGCAAAACTCCGGACCGCAGGTGTCTGCGCTGGATAACAAATGCTTCGTCCTTTCCGCAGAGTAACGCGTTCACCACCACACCGCACGGTTCCTTCGTTTCGCCTGTCTCTCAGCTAGTTCTACCGACCTTTTGTCATCAGCAATCACCCATCAACGGTATTGATCTGGAGAGCCCAAACCGGCATAGGACCCAGTTAAGCTGAGGCTGTAGTTATAATCACAATCTTAGCCTTTTTATTTACTGCCTATTCGTTTTTTTAATATTTGCCTATTGCCATCCGGAGTTTTGCAAATATCTTAGCATTATAGAAATTATGTTTCGCAAATACCCTGCCGTTAAAAAAAAGAATAGGCAGTAAATAAAAATGTTAAGATTATGGTGACTGTTAGGTGGTCTACAGCGGGCTGATTCAGCACAGCTTTTTGAATTCAGGAAAAACGATTACGGTGGAGAAATACGGCCAACAAATCAACGAAATGCATCGTGAACTTCAACAACAACAACCGGCATTGGTCAATAGAAAAGGACCAATCCTTCTCCAAGACAACGCACGGCCTCAAACTACGGAGCTGGCCTTGCAGAAGTTGAATGAGTTAGGCTACGAAACTTTGCCTCGTTCGCCATATTCGTCAGAGCTTTCGCCTCCGACTATCACATTTTCTAGCGCTTTGAAAACTTTTTGGGCGAAGAATGCTTCACTAAGACGCAAAAGACGCCTTCAACGAGTTCATCGCCCCCAGAACTCCAGAATTATATGCAACTGGAGTAAATAATTTTTCTTGCTAAAAAATTGCTTTAACCAGTAAAATTAATATAAAAGAATTATGACTTTTTAAAGTACGCATTTAAAATCGAACATTTCATGTGTTGCAACCTAATATAAAATACGTAATAATTAACATTTCGGAGCGTAAGCTACCTAATCGGAAACGAAATCATTGAACTTCTCCTATCACAAGTTTCATTCCTATTTTCGAAGGACACTCTTAACAACAAGTTGTTTATTCCAGAAAAATTCGCGCTGAATTTATAAGAATATTAACGAGGAGAAAGAAGATGAATGTTGTGCAGTGCATGACAATGCGGCGAGTCAATGGGCATCCACAATGAAGGCGCCTGAAGGATAATATAAACCTCCCACAGAAATAAGATTCTTGACACCGTTCTGAACTTTTTTATTTATTGCCTATTCTTTTTTCACTGCAGGTTATTATAGACCAGATTTAAGCTGAGACATGAGCAAAACTTGGGATCTCAGATGTGCGTCGAACCCGCGATCACCATTTTCGGGACTCACGTGTTACCTACGGCACCAACCAAGACCCATGCTTTGCCTTTTCTCAACCAGTTTTCTTGACATTATTGCGTGACATGAAGTTCCTTACTCGTTATAGAAGAATTCTCACTTCTTATTTCTCGGTATCCAAAAATTCCAGTACTTTTATTCATCATTGATGTTCTGGATGTTTTTTTCTGGATGTTTTTATTATTCATTAAAAGCGTTTTTTGATTCTCGGTCGAAGTAAATTTGTTCAATTACGATTCCAGTAAGCTCATATTGGATAAGACGCTACAAAGACGCTTCCAGAGCTCGGTGTTTAACAGCCTATCTCATTTAAAAATTGCAAATGCTTTTGAACATTCGAGAACTTTGCTGGATTGTGGAAAAAATCTTGCTCTACTTCTATGATTCCGCCTAAACTTTTTGTAAAATATTTTAAAACCATAAAGACTTTTAGAATTATCTTTCACACCAACTTCAATCACGGCGAAAAGAAAATCCTTAAACAACAGACGAAACTACGCGCAAAATTTGGAAAACCTTCAATGATGATGGATGCGAGGAAATGAAGCGAATGCAAGAAGTGCGAGGATCTGCGTAGTAGGGGTGAATGACGCCTAGTTTAAAATACACTTCGGGCCTCATTTTCCACTACTCAAGATGAAGCTAGTCATCTGCAACGACTTCTGCTAGTGACATATGCAATTGTCATGTGTTATTAAAACTACTCACATTGGCTGGATACGAAGCCTAAGTTCACGTTACTCTAAAGGATTTGGCAAAATTAAAAACGAAGTAAAACTGTAGGCGTTGATGAATTCCTGAGGGATGCGCCACTCATTAGACTTCATTAGGCATCAATAGAGTTGAATGAATACATATCTGGCCTTTACAATACAATACAATATCTGCCTTTACTGACCTCGCGATTGCTGAAAAAGAAAACGAAACATTTATAATCCAATGTTGAGGTTAAGAAAGTCGATCTTGGGAACTATCATGGGTTGCTTTCCAGTCTCTCCCATTGATGATGGAAAGTTTATGTGCTGGAGGTCACTCCTAACTTCCTTTCATATACTTCTCTGTCACATGATTGCAGGTTTTCGGCTAAACTGACTTTTAAAATAAAATCCGCATAAACGAGAATACACCCATGTACTAATACATGGAAACGTCCTCGTAAATCTCGGACCATCTTTGTCTCGGGAACTTATGATTTAATAACTATGGTAATTTTTGACTGCTCGTTACATTGTATTCAATTCGAGGAGTTAGTAATAAACCATGGAATACGCTCTTTGCAGGTCATTAAGTGGTCTGACTAATCCCATAGTTCGCTACTTCCCCATAAAAATCCGATTAGGAAAGCAGCGAACGTCATGCCGGTCCACATGGATCTGTGGATCACCCCAGGATTTTAGGGAAAATAAGTAAGCAACCAGAGTCACTGCTCATATTACAGCCAAAGTAAGGCGCAAATTCGACCACATGCGATGATTGCAACGGAAAGTGAAGAAAACCCGAATTGCTGTGTGAAGCGGAAAATAGTCACCAAGTATTTAAGTAAATATAACAATGATAAACTCATTTAAGATAAACTAATTAAAGACTTGATAGTTACTCGTAACAATGAGCAGCTGTGAAGTAGACAAAAACGTTGTTTCTCTTTTGGTTTCCGCGGACCAACAGCGATCTTAGCTTCCCAGTGACGCAGATGAATCCAGGGGATGGGCTCCATGTGTTTCTCGCACCGATTTGGCCCACTCCGTCTGTATTTACTAAGACGTCTCCGTGCGCGATTGCATGAGAATGTTCTCATTTGTGAGGAATTCATTCTGCGAGGCAATTCGAAGTATATGGGAGGCGGTTAGGAGTCGCTTCCAAATGAGCTCTCCGTCTAATCCGAGAGATTCTGGCAAACTAACCGTGAGTATACCCAGTCCCGCCTTCAGTGCTCAGCAAGCTATATGTGGGTATCAAAAAGCTAAGCACAGTAAAAGAAATAGGCCTTATTCAGCTGACCCCAAAAAACCCTCCGATTCGGCAGCGTTGGATAAGAGGAGTGCGGAAAGGCTGCTAAAAACTCAGGGCCACTGTAAGCTGCCTAAACCGCAAAGAACTAAGGTGACGATCCGTATCTACAATGTATGCACACTTGCATCCGAGTCCTCGGTAGAACACTTGATCATGCAAGCATGAACAATAAGTTACGATAAGGTATCATCGGCCTGGCCGAGACGAGACGACGCCACCCATTCAACGCCGTCTATGACATCGGAGAAGAACTGTTCCTCGGAACATGCGAACTAGAGGAATCGGCGGTGTCGGCGTTCTCGTCAACACGAGTTTATCCACAAACATCGATTTATTCGAACAACTTACAACCCGAATCGGACGTTTACGTTAAAAAAGACCTGGATCAATTCCAGCTTTCACAATCTCGTTTATGTCCCGACATCAAACTATGACGAAGAAGAAGACGAAGCGTTTTATGTGGACTTGGAGAAGTTCCACAGAGAACACCATACATTCTTCAAGGTCATCGTTGGAGATATCGCTAAGACTGGGCCCAGAAGAGATTCTCAAAAACGTCACATTAGACCCAACGGATTAGAATGGAACAAGCAAGGTTGTCTCAGTCGTCAACCACATGCGACTATAATCAGCTGTTCTAAACTTCCTCATTGGAAGTCGCGAAAAAGCGGCTCTGAAGAAGGCGATACTGCCGAAACGTCAGCTAGCGTTGTATTGTATTGTGTTTTTATGGAAGTAAATGTATGCTGTTTGAAAACCTCGCGATTGCTGAACAAGAAAACGACACATTCATATTCCAATGCCGAGGTTAAGAGAAAGTCGATCCTGGGAACTATCACGGCTAAGACTGACTCGGTAAGTCGTAATTCCAGAATCCCCATCCTCAAAGTTGGACGTGGGATTCTTCCTGTGAAGAGTACCATAACGAAATAGACCACACCGTAGTAAAGCGAAGGTTTTACCTAACCGATGCTGCTATTGCCCCAAAATTCTACAAGGGATCAGACCACTAACTCCTTCGTGGAGAATTTCGTGTTTCGCAGAAAGGAAAAAAGCTGCGAAGGTGCAGAATTCAGAAAACGAAATCCAAAAACCACCACGAACTGGGACTCGTCGGCTGTTGGGAAGGCGCCGTTGTCGATAACATCGACGACGAATACGATCCGCTCATTCAACATATTCACGTTAGCGCTATGAAAGCTGAGAATTCGAAAGTCACCAATAGGCTGCTGTTTCCAGAAGCACTCAGCAGGCTGACAGGCCAGCGTGGAGTCGCACGAGTTGCAGGTAACCGCCTACTAACGTCCGAACTTGCAAAACAAAACAGACAAGCCATAAAGGAGAACCTTAAAGAAAGAGAAGCAGCAGTTATGGTCGAAGCCTCAGAGGCTGGGAAAAGCATTCGTAAAGGCCATCGAAGCTTCGCCTATTGCAAAACCAAGACGATTGCACTACGACACCCAGACGAAACAGTTATTGCGTCCAGAGAGGCAATGGAGAAAATCATTCACGAATACTACTCAGATCTCTTCCATAGTCATGTCATTCTATCACTGTATGAAATAAAGGAGGAAGGACATGTCGTACACCAATGAAAATATTGATCCTGGACTAAATCCCACAAAAACGATGTTCATGAGGAGCAAGTTGATTTCGTATGCTCCACTCATGTTCAACGGTGCAATATCTCCGAATGTTCCAGCTACGTCTATCTATGTAAAAATGAACATGGTGAACTACTTAGCTGCTGAGTTGAACAGGAGGAAGCGTGTGGTTTAGTGAGCTTTCAAGAGCATCGAGACATAGTGAAGAGAACAAAAAACGCCAGAATCCGTGCCATTCCACGATTCTTGGAGCCTTAATATATGCGTCAGAAGCCTGCTCGTTGCGTAAGCAGGATGAAAGATCACTCGTCGTTATCGAACGGGCCATAATAGGTGTATCCCGTGTTACGCAAGTGATGGAGGAATCCGATGCTCCGATGTACGTGAACAACAATGAATCAAAGAGGCTGTTCTGTGCATCAAACTGTCGAAAATGAGGTGGGAGTTACACGTAATTCGTATGGATGACAGCCGATAGACAAGAGCCGTTAGTGACTGGATTCCTCAGGATGTCAAACGTACTACAAGAAGACCACGACCCGATGGTCAGAGTTCACACTAAAATCCTGTAAGAAAGGTTTGGTGCTCAACGAGTCTCTCGTGTGAGCGAAACCCACTGGGTTACTCTTGCTCACGACTGGAGAAAATAGAGGATTTGCTGGTGCTCACCTCAGTCACTCGACGGTCAATTTGACAGCAGTCGACTGGTGGCACGAACGAAAAAAATTCTATTTTTGCATGCGTATAACAAAGATAAGTAGAAAATAGCGCCAACAACAAATTCCCACCGATTTTCCGTTAACTTTGACACTGGTCAATAATTAGCTGCTTTCCTGATGAGCACACAGAATGTTGTCATTGTAATTTTTATTTACAATTATTGGCGTTTCTGCGAATCTCGCCTTCTCCAGAGCGTAAAAAGGATAAATTGACCGCAAACTAGCCAGCCGTACACCTCGAAAATCTCGACAGAGAAACCATGGTGCCTAGGATGCCTAAATTGCAATCCCTTTGGAACCAAAACAACTTCTTCACAGACTCGCTGATTTTCTTGAGTCTTGCACTGAGTATCCTATGTGGAGACAAACCGCGCAGAGTTCACATGGATTTCCAATGTGTCTTCCTCTCTTGCGCTGAAATATCAGTCTGAGATATTGCACGAGATCAAGCGCCGTAACGAGAATGAGGTATTCCTCTCAGAGGTTTGTTTTTACAATGTATCCAGAATCCCTAGAGGGTTTTATTTTCTGAAGTTTTACACTGCTGGGCCAAAATTGTAGGTTTAACTTCAAAATATTCCCCGTTCTGTGTCTATGTCCCATGATGCGCTCAGTGGAATATTTTGTTAAACATTGCGCTAACGGTCTAGCTCTTCTTTTACACAGATACATAATGGTACTACCGCTTTCGCCAATATATTCTTTTTCGTACGCTTGAAAAGAGATGAGATAAACCGTACTGGAACTGATGCAGTCACCATCTCTACCGTGAGACATATTATACAATTTCACGTTGAGTACAGAGTGTTAAGCAAAAGCTATGAATGAGCCGACGGTTAATTGTGATCGGTGGTATTTCAACTAGTGTTACTTAATTCTTCGGACAGGCTCCTTTCAAGCAGCGTTTTATAGCGGTGCTTATTCCGTGGGAAATAAAGGGCGCGGTGAATGAGGCCTTGATCTCTTTAAAAATACTACTTGAGACGTGATTTTCCATGTAAACCTTTGATCGAGTACTACCATTTCGTAGCCAATGCAAATGGCCATATGCTGCGTCATTTTCACCAATTCTTCATTCTGCTCTCTTCCTGCCCACACATTTGCGGCTGTTGGAAAGATGCTTTTGAGAAGTGCCTTTTTTGTTTGTGAAGGGTATGAGGACAGGTAATCGGCGAATGTGTTTTTGCCACTTGGCTTTCAGTATCATTTCATGTCGAAACCGTTTCTGGATAGGTTAATGTGAACGTTCAAAAACGGAAACCAGTTTTCTTTCGAGTTCTCGGATGGATTCCATGTAATCTAACTGTTCCTCTAACAAGTCGAAAAATTTGTCCACCTTCCCCTGTATGGAACAGATCACCAAACCAAAATATCAACATTAGAGTAATGACAGGAAATGCTCGGTGTTTTATAAGGAGTTCGAGTATGGCTTCCATTGCTGAAATCATTCGACACACTTGTGTAAAAGACGGCACCGGACAAGGATTCCATCACGTACGCGCTTTAAGGACGCATGTTACGCAGTTCATCCAGAATGAGAAAGCGGTAGCAGCTATTCAAACACTCTCAAACGCCAGCTCTTATCCGTATCTGTGGCCGTCTATGCACAATGCAAAATTGCATAATTTCTCCTAACGGCAGATACGGCGATTGTATCAGTTCGGTTACGGTGTACCTGACCTCTCAGAAAGTGTGCGGAGACAAATTCATTGGCAAACCGAGTAGACCACTTTGTAACCGTGTGAAGTAACACTTGGAAGCTAAAATTAAAGCTTAACCAAGTGCCCGACTAAGCACTTATAGGGCAAAAAGACATTACGAAGAGGATTCCGACGTAAGAGTCACTATCCTCCCACACCAATCTAAAACATGGGCACGTGCTCTCTAAGGATTTTGGATTAGTTGCAAAAATCCAAAGGTGAACAGCAAGGAGGAGTGCCTTGCCACCATGCGTATGTCGACCTCTGAATAAGAGCGCTGCTTGTGGTTGAAAATTATTGTCTTTCGTTCTCAACAATTTGTGAGTAAGGAAAAAGGTTAAAGCATCTCGTGTTGGCCAACCTGAGAGAGTTGCCTCAGGCATTCGAATTCATCAAGCATCTTTGGGTTGGTTAAATGCATATTTGACCCCGAAGGTGTACTGATTTATCAAGTTAGTAATTCCTTTGCTCGAAGGCTTGAGACAGCGTGGATGTTCCAGGATACTGACCGCAGAAACTCGATTGGAAACGCTGATTGGAAGAAGAGGAATTAACTAACTAACTAGTTCCCATTTGTCATGATTAATGCAGCAGTAGACATAAAGAAGTGCAATAAACGAAATAATCCCAAATCTAGCGGAATAATTGTTGGGCCCAAAAAAAAGTTTGGCTGACTTTGATTCCATAAAATGGTAAGATTGCGAATAGTTCTCACATCGACCGCTCTGTTCCCTACACAGTGAACGTAACGATCATGAACAGCTGCTCCTTCTATTATGTATGATGGGTTAGGCGGAAAGTAAATGCAACACTTTTTCGAAACCATCGGTTCCGCCTTTTAAATAGTAATTACGTTCCCAACAAATTTAGTAACTTTTCCCCAACGTATCAACATTCTGTTATTCAGTAGTAAAGGATTCTATTGGCTATGGACAAAACTGACTTCGGCATTCTTCTAAATTTTGCAGCGCTACTTTCGAAAACGTCAGGCGAAAATTAGCACGGGAAGAAAACGACGAACAGCATGATTACAGCCGATGCAAGACCGATGCAGCAACACATCCATGTTATTGGACGCACTGACGGGAGGTAAGCATTGGCGTGCATCGACGTAAGATGAAGACGTGCTAAATACGCAAGGATTTCGCGAAGCAGTGGATAACACGAGGACCCGGATGACATCCTTTGTGAAGATTGTGAAGACGCCCTGGGCGAGTAGTTCACGGAACGGCAGATTAATAACAAGATAACCACTAACCTGATAGTCAGCTTTTGTCACGAAATTCTTAAGCAATTAAATTAATACATTGCACTTCACGTCCCAATCAACAGGACAACTCTGATGCGCTTCAGGGACAACCGGAGAGTTTATCAATTGTGCTCAAGTCGCTGGAAGGGCACTTGCAGAAGACGATGCGTGCTCACACGTGGTTAATTCGTGGGGATGTTTCTCTGCATAATATAGCCTTCGTGATAAAATTAGTGATTATTCCCTGAACAAATCATGTTACTGCATTATATATAATTCCATTTTTACTGTGATGGATAGGAAAAAAATTCTTCATTTGGCCATTTCCTTAAGAAGTCTGTTTTCTGAGGCGCTAGGTCGGTCAACGGAGACGAGTGTATTACAGGGCGAATGAGGCCGATGGGCCAAGCAGCGGGCCAATGTCTGCCGGGCCGCGATCGATTCCCCGATCCCCGGAGGCAGAGGCCAGTGCTCCAGAGCCGCCGTGCAGTCATATCCCACGCAAACTCGAGCCATCGCTCGCGCCATTTGATCATTTTCATTTCATTCTCCTTCTGTTCTTTATTCCTACGTTTTCCGCTACTTTCAGTCCTCAGTTTTTCTCCCACTCTCGAAAGCGGCTCTTGTTTTCCTTCAAAGAATTAACTAGTTTATCGTGATTGGTGCCATTGATCTTCTTGCAAAGTGGATTTGGTTGTATGTGAAACAGCCCACGAATAGAGCTGGCGCATTTTACCCACTGGAATTTTCAGAAGACATGGTAACCATCATTTTTCATTCCGTTGACTCTAGTACTTTTTTCATGCATAGGTAAATAGGTAAAAGATAACCACGCCATTGTTGTCTCCTTAGTCAATATTTGACACTTGGATGATCTTTCTTCAAAAATCTTTCGGACTTCTAATAATATTTGACTTGTATGTTCTTTATTGAGCAAGGTTTTCCAGTCTCAAGAAAGAGCTGCGAGGTTGTTCCAGGTCACCGTAACTGGCAGAATTTTGTGTCAACTTGATAGATTCATGACAAGTAGCGGCATTATTGACACAGAGGATTTGAACGTTACTTCCAGAAGATGAATAACTTTTCCTCCAACTATTCTACTCGGTTACGTAGCCGCACTAAACAGCCGGTCTATACTTCTGATAAACGAGCGAAATTTACGCAACGAGAAAGTAAGAAGTGAGTCCTTGTCCTGCTTGCTACAGTTTTCAGCTATGATTTTTGCAGTTTCAATTTTGGCTTAATTTTTCCGTAATTACTCTCGTACTTGCTCATTTTTATGGCTCATGTTTGCCAAAAAATTTTTTTCGATTTGTTGCATTTTTTGCAACTGGGTAAAATTTATCTTTCAAAGGATAAGCAGGCGTATAGATCACAGCAAATTAACACTGTTTTTCCCTAGGAAACTTTACCACATTTCACTTTTTCGAAATCGTTCTTGTTTCCCGTCCATCTCTTCTACGTACTCCAGCGATCAGAACCGCTATGTGACGCGCACGTTAGTTTGTTCGACACCAGGTCCTGTGCTAACCAAACCACCCACCCTCCGGTGGTAAATTTGTAATTTATAAAAACCTGTATGGCAGGATAATCATCTTGCATTGATTCATCTGTTAGCAGGCAAAATCCAGTATGGGAGAAATATTCATTCAGACATTTCTAGAAAGCTTAATTGAATTGAATGCATGGCGCATCCCCGAGAGTTAGATCAACGCCGAGTGCGTTACGCTTTATTTGTTTGTCTTTTACGGACAACTGTAGAAATACCAGTTTAGATGGATTCGATTCGTAACTGTACTTGGTTATATTTTCTTCGTCTCGTTGCCAGCTGTATCGCTGAGCGTTTACTACGTTTACTTATGGGATCCTGGGTATATACAGAAGGTCAGTTGGAAGTCAAGGCGGTCAAAATAAAGTTAAAACACAATTGAAATTTAGCCGTACTCCAGCAAGTAATTCATTCTCTCCATCAATTAGTAACTAATAGCAGGTTATTTCAGCTACACGATCTAAAATAAGCAGCTTTTTTATCTATTAAACAAACTGTGGTGCTGACAGTGGAGGCATGTGGCGCGGTGGTCGGAGGCGCCCTGCAGTACACATGGGATCGATTCCCGCTCCCCAGGCCCACCAAGCCTTCCATCTCTCCGGGCTCGGCAAATTAGTACCAGACTTGTCGGGGAGGATAGCAGCACTGACTCGATACATCGGTAAACCACCGCGAGTCATTGTAGAGGCCAGATCTGCATTCAGCTATCTCCAGACGATGATTAATGAAATCGAATGCATAGTGCATCCCAAAGGGTTTGATCAGCGCCGAGAGCTTTATTCTCTATTTTTTATTTATGGTGCAGCTAAAACGAAGAAAAGAGAGTCAGGGCCAAACGGGTCCAATTCCTTAAATATCGCTCACTCTCAACTGAAACTTCCCTGAACACGATTTAGCTGATTTGCATGATAAAAACAATTTTAAACCACAGGTGAAGTCGAAGCGCAATGAAATGTTGCAGATTTATTAGAAAGACTTAATAGATAATCTTGATAATAAATAAAATATTAGCAACTAATAGCCATATCTCCGTCGATTGCAGTTCCAACGTGAAGTAATTAACTATTCGGTTCCAATTCACAAGGCTCCCGACGTAACGTTTCGATCAGGGAGAGATTTAGCCGATATGGGATCTTCGTTAGTCAGCAAGTCCTATACGCCAACACCATTGTCAATCCAGCAGCCCTGTCCACCATGCGGATCGCGTGCGTTAGATCTCGCTACTATCCTGGCTGAAGGTGAGTGTCATATACGTTAATAATCGAGTGACCAGAATGAACACCGCTGAAGCACCCAGGTTGTGCTTCGCTCGGAGAACGCAGAGTTGTATTAGGCCGTTTAGACTTACTACGTCCATGTACAGTAGTTACATTTACGTACTTATGATTTCGACTACAGCCCCAACTTAATTGGGTTCAATGCCGATTTGAACTCCCTACATCAATTCTCCTGACGGGTGATTGATGATGGCAGCGTTAGGTAGAAAACTAGCTGAGAGAAACGCAGAGCAAAGGCCTTCGTGGCCCAGTGTGTAGTGCGCGAGCCCGCGGAAAGGGATATCGTGGTTCGATCTGGCTCGGGGTCCAAGTTTTCGAATATCTCAACATCGTTGTGTATGTACGTATGCACTGACGTGACTACACGATTATTCAACGCATAAGCCAATTGAGGTAACAGAAACGAGAAGCCGACTTTATTGCAAACACTGGGTTCTTGTTGTTCCGTCACCCCACGATTTCTGGATTCTTATGGGACAGGATAGTGTCATTTGTTCCCACGTGGGCTTTTTTTGAATTTCTGTTGCCTGCGCGTTAAGGATTGGCGAGTGTGTTTTTGCCATTCTGTCATGGCTTTGTATTCCTGACAGCGTTACTTACTTGATACTTGGTACTTAAACGGTTTGCCCTTACTGGTTGTGCGGGCTCCAGCATAATCTCCATTTTTGAGAGATTTACGAGTTAAGCCATTGTGGTTCCTTGGAACCTAGAGGTCAACATGGTCAAAGTCTGCCCCAGGTCTTCACCACTACACGCAGTCGCAGCCCTTGTGGATCAGAGGGAGATTTGCCACCATGCGACTTTGATAGCAGGACAGTGTGGATCCTGGTACTGGTTTACTCTTAGTTAAGCTTCCTCATGGAAACGCGGGACTCCTCAACTTGGGAGACCTTGTCAGTTTGGTGAATCCCCTCGCTGTACATCGCAGTCCGACACCCAGGAACACCTCCCAGCCACTATGAGGCGCTAAACCGTTGGGCGGTGACAGTATTAAACTGAGCCAATCTGGGAATTTTAACTTATTCACGACGAAGCTGGTTCTTGGACAGTTGCTGATAGTTTTGTCAATAACTAGAATGCTTGAGAACTTGCGAATGTGAAAAACTTGTAAAAGATGCTTTAAGATATAACTCTAAAAGTGTAGAAAACTTTCCTCATTTTGCCTTTAATGCTGTCTAAAATGGAAATTCCCAAAAAAGCTGTGTATTTCAGTCAATAAAGTTTTGTATGAGCGTTGATGTGCTCGTTTAATGCTGATGGGAGGAATTGTTTCCGTGCAGGCATGCATTTAAATTAATACATGTTATCAGGAATTTCTTAATGAAAACGAGGTCGTACCTTCATACCTTACTTAGAAATTTGCAGGCTATGGCAAAAAGATTAGTAAGATCTTATTGTTTTTTTAGTATTTATCTCAGCATCATTGTGGTTATATTTCACATCGTACCCTGGTTTGAAGAACTATAGAAGGCAGCAAATAAAAGTTGTCCTAGTAAGACCTTTTTTGTATAGTGGCAACTTCATCCCCTTATAGAATTACTTAAGCTAAGAAGGACCTCGACGTTTTCATCCTGTCGCCCAGCGAAGGAAAAAGCTAAACCGTTGCAGACCCAGCGAGCTGCTCTTGCGCGTGTTTTCTTGCGGAAAACCATGAAGCACTGTGGCAAAAGTATGGTGTTATTCATGCTGGACATGAGGAAGTTGAACAAGTATAACGTCAGCAATGGATGTGGTTTGCGACGAGATTAATGGACCTGCTGGAGTCCTCTCGGGCTACTCGATTATTAGAAGGGTTCCAGATGATTCCTTTGATAGGCAGTAATCCAACAAAGAGTAAGTTAAGTAAATGAAGAAAACAGACTGTTTAGGGTATGTAGGTCAACATTAGAAAAGAAAGGGGAGCAAATTTCATATATCGATGTTGGTGGACATTAAGTGTGGTTTTTTTTGTTACATGGCCCGTCATCACATTTACTCTGCTGGTCTCAACACTTCTTGCATTTGATTCGTTTTCCACGCGTTCATCGTCTACAATGATAGTCTTCGGACATTTCTCGTGTTGTTTCAGTTGCTGCTTGAGGATTTCATCTTCTTTATGAATGTCGTATAATCCTGGTCGACTAGTTCTTCTTGCAACTTTGGAGATAGCAGGGCTAAGGCGTTCCCGCGTGAACTAGTACGAAGCGTCAGGGCGGGGATTGAACTAACGCCGTTGTCTCATGGTTGACGGAATCACTAACCACTGCGCTATTTCCTCTCCCAAGTATAGCAGATACACAAATTATCCTAATCACATTACACTGGTACGCAAGGTATTTTGATGATTAGGAGCAAAGATAAGAGGGAAAATGCGGCATTCCGTAAGAAGATGGGGGTTCTTGGGCGTTGTATGTAGTGGGTAGTTCCATTGCTGTTTGATGGAATTGGATTCCAAAGGATCACGAGTTGCATGCAACCGCAAATTGCACCACCACCAGTTCCATAAAAAAGGCCATATTAAAATCGTTATTAATTGGCATTAAAAGGCACACTTCATAATAGAGTGACGTAATGTCAACTTTTTAATGTCTTGAAAGTGTTCTGGCCATGTGTATTCCATTTTTGCTCTGAATTAACAGGAGAGAATTCTTCCATTACTTTCTTCTGTCTAGTTTTTCTCAGCGTAATTGTTTGTATTATGTCACTTAAGCTTATGCTTTGTACCTATTACTAGTGCTATTTGGTAATGGTCCATGCGTAAGTCTCTTTAATAGTTTTAACTACATGTTATTGCAGTTAAAATGTTTTACAGTACTAATTGTGCAATTGTTTCGGAGAAAAATTCGTTCATAGTTATCATTTCCTCATTTTCGGTAATTTGCGAAAGATTCTACGACGAAGAATATGATGTAGATGTTTCTAGTTAGTAGAGTGCCTAGGAAACAATTCCTTCCAACGGTTTACCGCCTCATCGTGGCTGGGAAGTGTTCCTGGGTGTCGGGCTGGTACAGCGGGCGATTCGTCCTCCTGGCAGCTTCTATCAAGTTGAGGAGTCGCTGTTTCCAACAAGAAGTCTAGCTAAGACTAAATACCCGGACCGACCACCTAGTTGGTATGAAACTAGTCGCATGGTGGAAAATCTCCCTCTGATCCACAAGGGCGGCGACTGCCTGTGGTGATGACGACCCGGGGCAAACTTTGGCTAGGCTGACCTCGGGACTCCAAGGAACTACAATGGCTAAGCCATTAAAACTTCGAAAAAGCGGAAATTGTGCTGGGGCTCGCACAAACATTGAAGACGCACCATCCAAGTATCCAAATAAGAAAACAATTCTATTTAACGCTCACAAAGGTTTTTGGTGTTCCTAAGAAGGGTAC